CAATCTCTGCATAGTCCTTGAGTATGTAAGTACCAAGTTTCATTGAAATGTAATGCTCACTACTTATATCAAAAGCTGAAAATTACTTAATTATGCAAATTAGGTAATTATATGTATTGATATTACCATAAAAACTATCAGGTCTGTGCCGTGTCATATGACATCTATGTACCAAGTTTCATTGAAATGTGATGATTAGTACTTGAGATATCAGTGGAAAAACCGAAAATTGACTAATCATTATGCAAATTAGGTAATTAGTATCCACGGATTATTACCAAAAACTAATCAAAACCTAGCATTAGTTCAGAGCATCTGTGTACCAAGTTTCATCAAAATCCAATGAGTGGTTGTTTAGATATCAGTGGAACAGTCATGGAACCACTAAAAAATATCTAATTATGCAAATTAGGTAATGAATATGCACGGATGTTTACCAAAAACTAATCAAATCTGCGCACATGTTCAGAGCATCTATGTACTAAGTTTCATCAAAATCCAATCAGTGAAACAGTCATAGAACAGCTAAAAATTAGCTAATTATCATGCAAATTAGGTAATTAACGAGCATGGATTTTTACCAAAACCTAATCAAATCTGCGCATTGGCCCAGTGCATCTATGCACCAAGTTTTATTCAAAACCAATGTATGGTTCTTGAGATAACAGTGGAACAGTCGGACACACATATATACATACACACACACACACACACACACACCCACACATACATATACAATGTACAGACACACTAACTGCAAAGACTCCCATTATGTGCTTCGCACATGGGAGTAAAAAATGACTATGATGAGTAATATCTTTTTGAAAAATTCATCAGTAATTGTTTAAGGTTGATCAAAGAAAACTTAATTTTTGTAAAATGTAATGTTTTTATGCAAGCACAATCTAACACGCACATTAAAATTTAACAAAATGTACAAGTGAAAATTTCTTCTTTCTTATGATCTGGGTGAGGCATGGTACAACCAAGGGGTGGGGAACTCTGAATACTAAGCTTTTCAAACAGCGATGCTTGGACATTGATATTCAAAATTTGCAAAGTGGACCTGAGTTATTCCGAAGCTGTGTTTTTATAGAAAATTGAAATATAGTTTGTATTTTATGTAATACCAATTGTGTAGAGGACGAGTATCATTTTTGCATTATTCGTTTTACCAAAAGTTGAGATTTAAATACATCCCAAGTTATTACTATACATTTCCCTCACTCGAAAAATTTCTATCGTTATTACAATTACAAAATGTAGTAATCTTGCGTATTATTTCTAAATTTATTTTTCTTGCCTCAAAAAAACGCAACAATTATTTTGGTCTGACATTTCATGTTCTTTTCATATTTTCATGTTCTTTTCATATTTGCTTGTTCTTCACTGTAAAATGTTATGTAATTACAATGAGTATACCATGAGGCCGGAGGGCTACAGTATTTTTGAATAAATTAATTACACAAGTGAAAATTGATTTAAAACTATTTTCAATTTAACAAATTTGTAATAGTGATTAATACAAATGCAAACTTGTAACAATAAGAACTGGGCAATTTTCAAACATGATCAGTCCAGCCGTGTTAACAATATGGCTCCAAAACATCATTAAAAGTAAATGGCCATCAGTCAGCCATTTTCAAATCTGGGAAAAATGTAGAAATGTGTGATATTGCTGAAAAAAATTACCATAACAATTATTAAATACAATTTTCGAATATATGCACTAAGGGTTTATTTTGGTCAACAAAACATTCCCTAGAACACAAAACTAAACATTTTACCATTCTTCCATATGTGGTACACTGTACCGGTACCTTATTAAAATATAATGTTAAGCATGACATGTTTAAATCATTTTCCAGGTGTATATAAAAGGAAAGGACGGATACTGGATTTCAGTATACATGGTATCCATGATGGGATTGTGAAGCCATGCTTTAAAAGGGCAAACTGGCAGATCAACTGTTATGTTACAGTTCTTATTATTATATAATTATTATTATAAAAATACTTTAAACTTTGGCACAATATCAACAACACAATTATTTCAGATATTGCTTTAACCATCATATGTGATATATAGCTAACTTTTAACAGAATTAGACATCAGAGATATTTACATTGCAAAACAAGAGAAAAAGCTAGTTTGTGACAGGAACTATGAATGATAGACACCATAGTCATGTGATAAATACCTTCAAACAACTCCACAACTTGATGAATCAATAACTGGTCAATTTGAGTGAGATACTCCAATCCTGGGGGACAACCTAATGGTGCCATTGGTGGTGGCATCCACACTGTCATCTGGGTATCACCAGGCTGTTGTCCTGCTGGAGGCTGACCAGTTACCTACAAACAAAAATATAGGACACAACCAGATATTTACCAACTTTTTGATGTTGACGAGTTTCGACATAAGATTGTTCTAGATGTGTCCTGCTATTTACTTTTCACTTCACTGAACTAACAAGATTACTTCTTTTAAGATCAAAAAAAAAGAAAGGAATAATTTATGAAAAGTTAACATAAGACCCTTATGAAATTGATTTTTTGGTTTAATTGGTCATTTTTGTTTTGTTTTTATCCACTTCAGAAACCTGAAAATGGACATCTCCTGTACAAAGTAAATAAATACCATACACCTACATGTATGTATATGCAACAATTCATGTCATCTTATTGTCTGTTGTGCAATAGGAAAGCAAATCTAAACGAGTCAGCCATTTTGGATCAGAACTACCTTGTAGTTTAGACATGTCAGGAAAATTGCTTTGGAACAGTATTCTTAATTAGATGGATGCCAGTTGGCCATTTCTAATTTTGTTCTGATAAAACAAAATGACATGCACCAAGGTCCCATAATGTCCAATGAATGAAGTATGAACAAAATCTGTCTACAGATGGCAGAGTTTCAGTTCCAGAACAACCAAAACGCAGGATTTTTAAGTGAATCACAAAACAAATGCATATGTATCTCATGATGTACGTATTGGTGAAGTTTCAATAAGATCGGACAAGCCATGACATAAACACTGGTAGCGACAGACAAACTGAGAGATGCACGAAGGAGATCAATCTATAAAAATATAGTACATGTCATGAATTCATTCATCGTATTACAAACACTAGTCCTTGTATAGCCTTTCAAGAATACATAAATCAGAAACAGAAACAAATATTTATTTGCCATATCAGGGGTTTCGTCTACTTTTTGATCTCTTCGCCTCTCCTGACCACCTACATCGGTCTCGCTGTGAATGATAGAGCCTGTTTTATTTTATTTATTTTTTACCTATTGTTACAGGACAATGGCCTCCTAGCTCCTATTAAATGCATTTGTGAAATGCCTGCATATAACTTTTGAACTCTCTGTGATGACATTTAGTTAGTATTCAGTGTCATGAAATAGAGGCAAGTACAAAATGACATCAACTTACAGCTTGTTTTTCATCCATGTTTTTCGTAGCACTGGGTTACTAATAGTTATTCTGTAAAAAAAAATACATTATAATTAGATACTGACTGATTTTCAACCAAATAGCAGTTTACTTTTAAGTTATGATATTGGTACCAATGTATTATAAATACAAGTACTTGTCCATATTGAGAGATTGCTCTGGAACAGCATTCAAAAATCAGCCATTTTGAATACATGTATATATATATATATATATATATAACATGATGTACAATGAATATATAAAATTTGAATATAATCAGTCAAAGCATTTAAGAGATATGGCTCTAGAAGCCCATCATTAAAACAAAATGGCCGCCAGTCAGCCATTTTGAATCCAATCTGAAAAATAAAATGACGTGCATCAGGAACCTGTAATGGCTAATGTATGTACCAAGTTTGAGCAAAATCCATCCATAAATGCAAGAAATGCTTGATATTCGAGGATTTTTTTAGCACAAAAATAGCCACCATTAAGCCACTTTGAAAAGGATCGTCAAACCAATATATCTGTTTATCTGTGACATGATGTATAACGAATATTTATCTGTGACATGATGTACAATGTATAATGAATATTAAAAATTTGAACATAATCAGTCAAAACAAATCAGACATATGGGTCTGGGAACCCATTCATTAAAACAAAATGGCCGCCAGACAGCCATTTTGAATCTGATCTGAAAAATAAAATGACGTGCATCAGGAACCCGTAATGTTTAATGTATGTACCAAGTTTGAACGAAATCCATCCATAAATACCAGAAATGCTTGATATTTGATGATTTTTTAGCACAAAAATGACAAACATTCGGCCATTTTGAATAGGATCGTCAAACCAATATATCTGCCTATCTATGACATGATGTATAACGAATATTTAAAATTTGAACATAATCAGTCAAAAAAGTCGGAGATATGGGTCTAGAAGCCCATTCATTAAAACAAAATGGCTGCCAGTCGGCCATTTTGAATGTTATCTGAAAAACAAAATTTTTTGCATCAAGGTCCCATAATGTATATATCAAGTTTGAAAAAAAATCCATCTGTAAACAGCCGAGAAATGCTTGATTTTTATGATTTTTTAGCACAAAAATGGCCGCCATTCGGCCATCTTGAATCAGATCATGAAACAAATTGACGTGCATGTATGATATCATGTATAATGTATGTGTGAAGTTTGATTGTGATTGGTCCAGGCATTTCTAAGATACAGGTCCGGACGCACACACGCACGGAGATCAAAACATAAGTCCCCGTTTTCGGACTGTGTCCGAACGGGGACTAATAACATCTTTGGTCAACTACTTGACCACTAGTTTGTTACTTTGACTTGACTGCTCATCTAACAATATCTAAACTACTAGGAAGAATCACATTCCCTCTATCCTCTTTATACATCAGAGAGACTGTGGAAGAAACTAAACCTACTAGAAACACGTCATCGTACCGTGATCGCTTCTACGATTTTGATCTTTGTTTTTTCTATGATTTTTGTTGCATAATTTCGTACGCCATTTTTTTCTGTTTCCTGTTGAGCTATCAATCTATCGCAGTAATTCTTTACTTTACCAAATATATATTAAGATGCGTACCTCTTCGTCAAGGCAGAAATTGCGTGAAATTACGAAAGATGTCTCTGCCATAATTGAAGAAGACAATGAGGGCGTGATTTGGGCTCTAACAATAGGCCCCCAATACGTATACACGGTTGGAGCCATGTCGGGGCTCAACCCTATCGAAGTTCAACCCTGAGGGTTTATTGGAGCCGAACTTGGCTTGAGCCGAGCATGTATACACGGTCATTTTTGCTGGCTCGAGCGGTAGGACTCCGATAAAATGCTGTTGTGTGAACGTAGCAAATATATCTTATCCAATCAACCCGTGTCCTTGAAAATCAAGTCTTATAGAGCCAAAATTACGGAGGCCAAAAAATGGCCGATTTTCATCGAATCTTCTATGATTTTTTGATAACATTAATTCAGTCCAGTGGTTAGATAGGTTATTTATTAGTGACACCCCAGAGGAATGAAAATTGATGATAATAGCCAAGTGGGTGAGGAACTGCATTTCAAAAACACATTTTATATATAGGGTCTTCAAAAACGTGAATTTTCCTTTAACATATATTGCAAACTGTAATTTTTTAATATATGATTTTTCTATCGAGTCAATGGCACACCGGAAAATAGCTGCCAATAGTTTCATCTAGAAATATGAGTACACCAGTAAAGGTTGTATTGACTTAGAAGCCACACTGTTCCACATCATGTGTTATTTGATTAAAGCACATGACTGAAAACATGTGACCAAGTGTGACCTAAATACACAAGTCAACAAGTATAGGCGTGGTGAAATGTGAACATTGGCCTAATTGTTTACCTTTTAAAATGATATGCCTTAATCATGGATCCATGCCTTAATTAACTGCGTATCTGCGTATGTCAAGATCTATCTAGCAAAAGTCCCTGTATTTCCTAGTCGTCAATTTATTACCCTAATAAAATAATTACCAAAGATAATTTGGAAGCTGAAAGTCGCGAAAGCAAAACTCTGTGCAAATTCCAGAACACTATATTTACTATATTTACAGTGTTGCCATGAAACTACAGATTTGAAAACAAAGCATACACTTGCAGTTCCACGATGATATGCAACAAAACTTAAACAAAAATTCAATTCGGAATCATGTGCATGTCTGTGGTCACTAAGTTCTGTCAGCTAAAATTCATGGCTGGAGAGGGAAATGAAGCGTCGAGAGTCGAGTCGAGTTCCATGGGTGTTATAAACCCTTTTTTCATTAAACGGAACTTACGTAATGAATTGTAATTGTTTATTTCACCTCATGTTCTTTGCGGAATCAGAAAAGCGTAGGTTTTAAAACTTGAAATAATACTGCTTCGTCTACATTGTGAAATGAAAAGTGATTTTGACTTTCTAAACAACACACGCACACACGATAATAGTAATATAACTAACCACACAAATCAGTAATCCGGTAGTTCGTCGAATATAATCCAGTAAACGAAATATTCCACAGCAGCGAAAGCAAAAGGTCACCAGATTTCAGGGTACAATCTGAACTGCGTACAAGTCACGCCCGTCGAAGAACCCGGATGTAAGGTTATCGGATTTCTGTGACCTCGCGACATAGTCACGTGATCGGGAAAGTGTGTTTGTCTGAGATGTCCATGTGGACGGTTTGTTGAGCTGTGTTACTCGGGAACTGGGATCGCTCTCTCGCAAAATTCGAGTATCCAGCCTTGCAAATAGGTTTTCAGTTTCATCCTAAGCAGGTCGTGATGTGTTCATGGTGTACGGTGTATTCGCACACTGTTGGAACGCCTTGTAAAAATAAAGTACTCGAGAGCTTTCCTTTTCTGAGACGATGTCTAGGCGCATTCTAGGCGCGGTGCCGGGGAAACAAGTCATTGAAAATGACACAGCTCCCGTTCAAACTGTTCAAATTAATCTTCATGTACCAAACTTGGTCTTTACAATATTCAAGAAATGTGTTTACAAAGGAAAGTAGTTTAAGAATTGTGTTAAAACTAATATTTGTTGAGAAAGTTGATCAGAAATCGCATGACAATGTTCGTCGGTTTATTGTGTAAAATTATGAAGCCATTGTCCCATCACAACATGGGATAGCATTCGTTTGTGTGTGACTGTGGCATATTTTGAGTAACTTGTCCTATATTTTTCAAAAATTGCTATTTTTAGAACAATTCCACAATGTTAAAGAAAAATTGCATTTTTTGCCACTTTTTAATACCCGGATTTTTGAAATAACAAAAGTATTTTATCATTCACAAAATATAATTTGTTCAGCCTATGCCACCAGGGTACAATTTGGTTTGTGGCATAATATCTCTGCCATAGGAACCAATGGTAAAAACACTATAATATTGCCAAAATGGCCACTATCCGTCAATTTAAAATACAATCATTATTTTGTTGAAAATTAAAGTGATGACCCCCAGTCAATATCCTTGTATTGCCCAGAAGTACAATTTATTGGAAAATGAATAAATTCTGGGTATTTGAAATCAGGAATAATTACTTTGTTTTTGTAAACTGTTTACATATTTTAGAAACGTTGTATATACATTTTTGGAGGCATCCTGTTTTGAAATGGTTATATATCTGCTATATTAATCATGGTTTCCAAAAATGTTATGAATGAAAAAAATTACCAACATGGTATCACCAGCAACATAAACTTTATTGTTTCGAAAGATTTTCTAAATGGCCTATAAAATCCCTAATTTTTATAAAATCAAGTTTAGCAACTTTAAAAATGATCAGTATAATTTTAACTCAATTTCACAGATTCCGGAACTCTGCCGTTTAGGGTTTGACGCCATTACATCAGCACGGCAGAATATGTGATACGACAGAATGCAAAACTACCCATATGCAGCATGATAACAACAGAATATAGAACCATTTAGCGATCGATCCACGCCGATGGGATCAAACCGACGTTTTGTTTCAGTGGTCTAAAGTTTCACGTTTGTTCACACGGGTCTTCAGATAGCATTTTAGAAATTATCCTGGTTATTCATGATCATATATAACCTGAATGTAATATCAAAAACCGATAGAAGTATTTTATTTGTCTGGCTCGAAACTCGAAAGAAACATTGCAAGCCATTGGTTAGAACATACTAGTATGATGGATATTCGAGGTATTCACACATAATTAGGCCGGGGTCTGTTTCTATAGCGAAGAGGAGCCTGAGGTAAGGGTGTGCAGCCCACCTCTCGTAAACCATACTCACTTCTAAACCATTTTTTTCTATTTATATATCCACTTCTAAACAAAAGCTCACAACTTTCACAACCAGTGAGCGCATCCGGGCGATGCATTTTATTCAGCCTTTTCCAGTATTTGGCTTTGAATATAAGAACCCGTGAAAAAGTAAATAAATGCAACACACTTCTAAACCAAAACATTGATAAATGACTACCCACTTCTAAACAAAATAACGTGAAATAACGTGAAATGACACCCCAGTCGGGCGGCACATACCCGTATTGCACTACTATGCAAGTAGCCCCCCCCCCCGGTGTCAGGCTAGGGTAAGGTATTCTGAAAATGACTATTTTTTTTAAGCTTTAATTTGTCCTTCTTTCGAAATAGGCCTAAAATGTATTTTGTTACCCAGAAATCTATTACTTGCCGAGTAAAAACAACCAAAAGTTGTTAGCAAAAAAAAATTAGACGCCCTACTTTTTTTGAAACTCCGGGAAGATATTAAAATATGTCCATGTCCCGACTATTGACAGTCTCGTTTTAGTTGTGCGCCCAGAAGCAGCGAGGAGACTGATCTCAGCAGGGAACTAGCGCCCTCTATGAACAACAGTGTTATATACCATAAACTAAACATCGAGATGGGAAGGCACAAAAGACCAAAAATAAAAACAGAAGACAGAAAATGTACTAAATGCAACCTACTTGAGGATGAAATTCATTACATCACAAAATGTGAACTTTACACAGATGAAAGAGAGTTGTTATATTCACATTTTTCAAAGAAAATTAACAATTTTCAACACTGTACAAACAAAGAAAAATTCATTCATATATTGAATACAAACAACAAATATTTACTAACAGAGCTTATCAAATTTATAAAAACAGCAAATACCATTAGAGAAAACCACCTAATGGGTCATTAATATTTTTTTTTACATTATTTCATGTAACTGTATTGTAGTAGATTTTAGATATCTAACTTGTTATGTTTATTTTAACACCTTTATTGCATTTCATAAACCAAAATAGATATGTAATTCATTCTATAAGGTTGTAATAAAGAATTATCTTATCTTATCTTATCTTCACCATACTTTGTAACCCCCCCAGTGTTTTTTTTTTTTTCAAATTCAAGGAACATTATATGCGGTGTTGCCATATCCGTAACTCTTAGCTCCAGTATCTGTCTGTCTATATGTGTATGTCTACGTTCATTTGAATGTTTTATTGATGAAATCAAAAGAAACGAATTGTTTGTAAAACACCAGATGAAGGATTAGATTCATCTTGTATTTTCTAAAATGTTATTTCAATGTAATCTTTTTGGGGCAGTGTAATCATATTCATATGGTGTTTTACATGTGTATCAAACAATCACATTGTTAATTCATGATAATATTAGTATTCTGTTCCGTGAAAGCTAAAAATAGATAAGTTATATTGATATTATGTATCTCTCTGTGATTAAAATGAGTAATAGTTTAATTACGATTAGGACATACTTCATCGGACGAAGCAAGTACTATGACCGGTTAGGAAATACTTCATCCGACGAAACAAGTACTATGACCGGTCGTTCATGTTTTTCACTGTCACATCATAATTACAATGCAGTAGTTCTTGAAATAGAGTCTTGAAATATTATATATTAACATATAGTATTAACATTATGGGGATAAATAAAAAGAATAAAGTAGCA